AAAGGTAGAAGACAGAAACAGAACTCAGTCATTTTATGGTCCTTGAAGTTGTCTAGTGGCTTTATGCCTCTCCAATCAACTAAGTTAGCAGTCATATTCAGACGATGTCAGGGAGTTGGGGGCAGCTGAAGAAGGTAGCTAGAAAACATTGGTGTGTGTGTGTGTGTGTGTGTGTGTGTGTGTGTGTGTGTGCTTTTCCATGGGTATTTATTGCTTTTTTATTTTTTTAGGAAGCAAGAAAGCGCATAGACTTTTCACCTGTGTCCCATCCACATTTTTTCAGTGATGAAATAAACATCTACAACATAGTTTGCATGGTGTGCAATTGTGCCCTTTGAAGTTGTTCCAAACATCTCCAGGACCAGAAACACCATCTTACTCCTTGAAATGTCTAGGAGCTGAGCCTCTTTATCGGCTGTCAATCAAATCTTCTTGGATACAGTTATATTTCTAAAGAGACTGTAGTGCTTCTGTTTGTAGTGAGCCCTGGTGCTGCCCTTGCACACACATGCATCCGAAGGTTACAACTTGCACCAGTGCAACCGCTAGCAGGAAGGACTAAGGTGGTCTACAGCCTATGGAGTTCCAATCCTCTGGCCAGCATACCCGCATGGGGGCGGATTTAGCTTGCACAGGCTACCGCCATTCAGACCATTGCAGCTTGGTGTGACTCGTTTCCAGAAGTACTTCCTCTGAGCCTCTAATTAAACTCTCACCCAGGCTTTTCCAATTGATTTTACTTCAAAACAAGTTCTTTTTGCCTTGTAACACAAAAAGATAACAAGAGGAGGGGGAAGGAAGGCCAGAGGAGATACAAATCATTTCTTGTGAATCAGCATTAATGCAGTTTAGCCAGGGGAAAATGCCTGGTGTGCAGTCAAAGAAATCTAGAGATGGTAGCTGGCATGGTAAACAAATTTGAAAGTTTTCCTTTCCAGATAGAGATGCTTCTGAAATACAATGAATGTCAGATGCATTAAGTTTATCTTTAAAGGGGAGACTAATTCAGCAGTTGAAGCTTATTTGATTTTTCCCATTGACTTGAGCTATCCCCATAAGACAGGAAGGCAATCTGGGGTAAAACATTTTCCAGGAACTCTTGAGCAGTGTAGCAACTCCATGATTTTATTCTTTATTCTTTTTTGTTTTGTTTTGTTTTTTTTAAGATGCCAAGTATTCGGAGTGGCTGGAACTTTATCATTTGTCAACTTGAAACAATTACTGCTTGATGAGCATAAATGCAATAACATTCATTCTTTTCTGCATGGCTGCAAATGAATAATTAGGCCAGTTGACTTCCCCCTAACTTTCTAATGTCCTTTCCTTAAGCCTATGCACTAAACCAGGAGTGCAGCGCCTCCCAAACAGTGCTTTCCAAAGCACACAGTTCCCCTTTCCTTGTGCCTGGTGTTCCAGTATAGTTCTCAGCTCAGAGGAGGGGAACACACACACACACACACACACACACATATATACGTGTGTATATAGAGTGGGTATCATATGTCTCAGGATGGCTATGTAGTCAAGAATAACCCTGAACTTCTCATCTAACTGCCTTTACCTCCTAATTGGTAGGATTATAGATTTTTGCCACCATGCCCAGTTTATGTGGCTCTGATGGTCAAACCAAGAACTTCTCACATGGTAGGTAAACATTCAACCAGCTGAGATTCATCCCCAGGCTCAAAATGTGAATTTTAAAGATAGGGGATGTTGTCAACTGCATTTCTTCTCTAGATCACTAAACACACAAAAGGCCAAACCAGCCAAACAAATGACATAGATAAACTATTTCTGGGGCTTTGGAAGTGTTTCTGCAGAGCTTTTTCTCTAGCTTTTACTCTTTCTTGCACTCATGTCAAATATGCCCCAAGCTAGATGCAGCATGAGAGTCCCTTGTCATCCTTCCATTGGGAAGAGGGAGACAAGATGGCCTCACCTAATAAAGCATTCTGATCTGTATGTCACATTTCACAAGCAAGCAGTCTGTCATTCACATGGTCTCCTCTCTGCCCTGCAAGATTAATGTTAGCAGATTTGTGAGAAACACAAAAAGGTCTCACTAATTTGGGTGACAACTGGCCATTCTCCAAATCTACCTCTACTTCCTCTGAGAAGTCCCCTGGACTCACCCCAATGGGAACTGGAACTTTGTCAGCATGGTCTACTCCCTTCTGAAAAGCTCAATGTAAAACTGCAATAGACTATAGACACCTGGAAAGAAAGACCAAGGCCCAAGGGTGTTGTTCATTTGTTTAGATGAAGCAAAGGAGAAAAGGTCAAAGAAATAGAAGTGTGTGTGTGTGTGTGGGGGGGGGGTAGATGAAAAGGAGGACTCCTAAATTCTAAATGATCAGTAAAACAATAAAAACAACAACAACAACAAATATGAGAGCTTATCACTAGTGTTTATGTGTTTGTAGATGTCATGTGGTGTTAGGTTCCATGTTGGTAACAGTTCTTATGTTCATGAAGGAAGAGCAATGTGGAGGCTAAGAGGCAGATGACTCTCTTCATACTGTATGGTAGAGTGTGCCTGAGAGGAGATAAACCTTTTATCTCGGACCATAAATGCTACATATTGGCCAGCAGATGGCAGTCACAAGTGCTACATACATTTCCCAATCAACTCCAGATAATAATTTTATTCCAGATAATATAATATGGATAGTCTTCCTTCCAGAGCTAGAATATTTGAGGAAGCTTTCATGATTTAAAAAATAACATATTTTTTGACCCTTCTATTTGGGGCTTATAGGTAGGAAACATAGGTGAAACCCGGTTGAAAATGAGTATGCAGTTAAAGCTAGTGTTACAGAAGTAGAATTGTATTCCAAATGCTATGCTTAGTGACTCACAAATGTTAGCACATTAATCTTCACAAAAGTCTCAGAACTTACCATTTCATCAGCCCCAACTTCCAAGCCAGAAAAAACTTCACATCAGATAATTTAAGTAACTTGTAGAGCCCAGAACCAAAGGAGAGGTATCTTACTCAGTGTATTATATAACACCCCCATCAGAATATTTACAGTTTCCACTGTGATGTTTCATTATTCTGAGCTCTACTGGGTGTTACAGAGTGCTGGAGCTTGCTTTGCTCACTGAGAAGCTTCTAGATTAAAAAATGGAAGCCAAAAGAAATATAAATGAAATGATATCATAGAGTTAACTATTTTTAAGTCAGCTTCATCATCATATTTCAGATATTTGTGTGAGGTTTGTAAGTTACAAGAGGAGCTCTTTTAACTTTGACTTGAATATGCATAATTACTAATCTTGGCCATGTACTTCACCTCTTTGCCATCTCCATGCATAAACTAAAGTATGTTTGCACTATCAAAATCCTGTCTGGTTACAAAGTGACCCCATCATAGCTTTTTGAAGCTTTGCTTGTGATTGGCACTGACTTGGAGACAAATGTTAACAGATTGGTAAGAAACAAAATCAAGATAATTTTAGTTCACCATGACAAATACTATTGAATATTTGCTAGGTTGCCAAGCAACTGTACCAGGCACAAGGATTAAAATGCATTTAAGACTCAATTCTTACCTTTAAAGGGCTCTTCTATAGCGCTTGGAAAACAGGCACAAATCAATAACCATAATTCAGTATGGTAACCCAATAAACCCTAGATTAAAGAGCACGTGGAGTGCCACAGTGGCAAAGGAAGACAGGTCTGGAGTGTCCTGGGAATTCATATTTGAAATTAGGATTGTAGAACTGGCACGATGGCTCAGCTGGTAACAGAACTCAGCCTGAGTTCTGTCTCTGGAAAACACAACAAGCTTGATGCTGTGGATCACAGCTGTAACCTGGCACTCCCATGATGAGGTGGGAGGTGGAAACAGGAGAATTACCTGGAATCTCCCAGAGCATTCTGATTTGAGCACTAAGAGAAAACAAAAACAAAAACAAAAACAAACAAATAAACAAACAAAAAGACCTTGACTAAAACAAAGTGGCAGGAGAGAACTAACATCTAAACGCTGTCTTTTGACCTCCATAAATGTGACTTGGCAAATGTGAAGACACACACGCCATATAAATACATGCATAAACAGATAAGTGATAGATAGATAGATAGATAGATAGATAGATAGATAGATAGATAGAGGATAGATAGATGATAGATAATAGATGATAGATGTATACAATTTCTATGGTCTGTTAAAAGCATAGAACAATGACAATTTCCTCCAAAGACTGGTTTTAAAACTAAATGAAAATCATAGAAGACTATCCAGAATTCTGACCATATCTGCTCACTAAAATGCTGAAGTTAAAGGCCTACTAAACCCCTAGTCCATCCACTGGAAATCGCTCTCCTCTATGAAAGTTGCTGCAAGGAGGACACGACAACAGCTATAATGGGACAGTGATCAAAGATTTTTAGAACAATTGAAAATAGTATAATTTTAGGATTAGAAATGGCTTACAAAGACATCTAGCTTTAATTTATCATTTTATAGAAAAGGGACAGAGATCTGGAAATAAAAATAAAATTAAACTTGTTCAAATGTAGTGCATTTAATTGATGGTCAAAACAAGAGCCTTCAGGAGATGGCTAGAAAGTTCAGTTAGTAATTCTACTTGAAAATTCTGGAGACAGACTGCTTACCACATACTTGACTGGGCTACATTGAGATATTTAAACTTCCTGTCATTCAGTTTTCTCCTCTGTGGAATGAAAACAAGGCTATATTACCTAGTATATGGAAATTAGAAAATCTGAGTAGAACAATTAAGATTGAAATGATATGGTGCAAATGAATTGGTGTCTTCTAAACATTATTGTTGGAACTTGGAACTTCGGAACTTGGGTGTGTCCTATTTTCTACCTTAAAGGTTTTTTTTTTTTTTTTTTTTTTTTGCAATGGGAATAAAAAGCAAATGAGTTTTTTTCCACTTTCCTTTCTCTGATGCAGAAAACAATCACTGTTTTAGATTTGTGTGCTCATGTGTCATTCTTGTTCCCTGACATCCATCCTTTTCAGGGCCAAGGAGATCAAGATCAAGTTGGGAATTCTCCTCCAGAAGCCAGACTCTGCTGTTGACCTTGTCATTCCATATAATGAGAAGCCGGAGAAGCCAGCCAAGACCCACAAGTGAGTCATGAATATGGATTCCTCACATTTCCCTTGAGATGATTGTTGTTTTTCAAGTAGATAACACCGACATCCATCTGTAGGACTACCCTTTCAATTACTCACTGAAGATCATTTGAGTCCTCAGAGAATCAGTTCATAAATAGTATATTTTTATTAACACTTGTGTGTTTGGATCATAACATGAAATACTTACAGAATAGAACCTTGCCTCATCTTTGGGAAGGTGAACTGTATTTTATAAAATGGTACCAGTCACTCAGTTATTGACTGTAAGGTCAAAACATCTTGTAATTTATTGGCTTGGGTCAAGTAACCCTGATCCAATTAATTATGAGTCCCGCACACTCACTAGGAAGTAATAGCCAAGGCCTTTTCCTTGAGAGGGAAATGTGAGCAACGTCATGCTGATGAAAAGGCAGACAATTCAGGACTCAGTGGTTTCTTCTTGAAAATACAAGGTCTAACAGAAGAACTGCAACTTCAGCGAGGGGTGAACACTTGCCTAGCCATTCCCACTTAATGCACACCAAGCATTCTTTTCCCAACTCAAAAAAAAAAAAAAAAAGTTCCTGACAGGGATTTTACAGTCCTCTGTCCCTCAGCTCCAGCTGTGTACACCATCCCCACTCCCACCCTTCCACCATTGTAGGCATGGCAGAAAGGTATGATTCCAAAGGCTCAAAAGTCCACCTACTTTGACTCAGTAGCACAGTCCATCCATCATCACCACTGTCCATCATCTTTCATTAGCTCCCTAGACCCTTGCTGTCTAGATAGATGCACTTAGTCTTCCCTTTATAGCAGAGGTACCCATGGAAATGATGAAGGGAAGCCGGAAAGCCAAAAGGATGCCAACTCCTTCATTCTGTTACCTAAAAGCTTCAAGATCACAGATGTGTGGGAAAAGTACAGACATCCTTTTAACCTCTACTTCTCTTTTTTAATTTAATATTTGTATAAATTGGCCAACTCATCCTTTGTCCAAATGACCTTCAATTTAATATAGTTGATTGGCTGGGAGATACAGAACTGGGCTATTCTGTTTTAAAGTCATTTTCCATCATCCTAAGTGGATATTTCCATTTTCCTCCTTTTATTACTTCAAAGTGTTCACAAACCGGAAGTGAGGCATAATTGAATTTTCTACATTTAAAAAGGAGAAGCTAATTCAAAGTGAAGCAGCAGGCTGCCTAGACTAGTAGGCAGCAAGAACCGCATTGCATAGCCAGCAGGTCAAAAGGTCTATTTTGAAGCAACCAATGTGGTAATTATTGATCTGTTGGGATTAACATTTCAAATGTAGCTCTCTATTTCCTGCTTTCAGTCTCTTCTCTAGAATGCCACACAGATGCTTTAACTACTTGGCTCTTAGGAATTCAAGAGAGAAATGTTTGGAGAAGTTTTGGAACTGATATTTATTGTCTTATTTACTCTACTTGTCTTGCATTACCCCCCTTCTTCTAAAAATATTATTTGTTTTTGAGAAAAAAATAACCCTTCCCATCCCCAGGGAATACTGTATGTGAGTGCTGCTTTCCACCCTGAAAATGAACAAGTGCTCCTTGCAAACATACATGCTATATTTTACCTCTTCACATGGAGTAAATTTCTATGCTTTTAGCCTTCAGTGGGTGACCTTGCTCTTCATGAGCTCAGCCAATCTCATTTCTTCACTTACATATTTCTCTGTATTTTTTAAACCCGTGTTATCTGTGGAAAATAAAATAAATCTCTTGATTGAAGGTATGTATTTTTAGCTTCTCTCATCTTTTTTGGGCAATTGCTTGGAGGAAATACTTTCTATTTTTTAATATATTTTAACTTCTCATCTGATGAAAAAAAAAAAAAAACATGAGCCCCTGGAAAACAACAGAAAATAAGCTGTTCACAGTCTTATGCCAAATCCCAGCTTCTGTTATTACTTTAGTGTTCGAAAATTGGTCCTGGGTCTTCTTCCATTAGGAGAAAACAAATGCTATTAAAAAATCTCTCCCTCATCCTTTTGGCTCATGCACCTTTCTTTCTCTTTGTTTTCATTAGCTGAGGCTTGCAGACTTTCGTCTGCTCCCTAAGTCTTCCATCCTTGATGAAGTTATTGTTCCTGGGTGTCTGACTTGTCTGCAGAGTTGACTTGTTTTGTCATGGCTTCCTCTTTATTAGAACTCTCTTCCTTAACTCATGGCCCTGTGTCCTCCCTCTCCCTTTCCTCCTCTGCCCATCCTCCAAATTCCCAAAAGCTCTGCTGCAGGTCTTCAGAATGAATAATAACCAGAATTTTTAAGCTACATACATGGAGTTTGTAACAACATTATGGCTTGTAGTATGCTAAATTACAAAATTTCAGGGACAGACACCCTTTAAAGTAGGTTTTTATAGTCTAAATGTTCCCTCCTTGACATCAGTTATCAATTTTTAACTGAATGTGTTGTCTTAATGTGTCCACTTTAAAATCCCAGAATGGCCTCCACAAATAACTTAGTCTGAACCCTGGCTTATGATGAAAGTCAGAGCATGTTATCCTGTGTGTTCCTGCAGAGTTAACCTGGTTAACTGCAGAGTGAGCCTTGAAAGGAAATGTGTACAATTTTGTAGATATAAAGAACAAGCATTTCAGAAGTATGTAACTTATTCATGATGCCAAGAGTACCATTGGCCATGGGGTAAGTGCTAAATAAATAGTCATGGACTTGATTCTATGTGTGCTTTATAGGACAGGAAGGAAGAACATAGCAGGCTCTCATAAATGACACCAATGAACTCAAGGTTTGTTTTCTTTGTCAAAAGCAAGGACATGGGAAAACATGATGAAGGATAATGAAGTATATACCAGACACTGAATAGATTACCAACCAAAACAAAACAAAAAGGAAACCAAACCTACAAAATCCAGCCATTGGTGCTGCTGAGTTTAATTTTTCCCCAGGGCTAATATTGGCCAGTATTACCAGCAGGTGTAGCAATGGCTCATGACTCTGTTCAAACAGTGAGTCATCTGTGGCTTTCCACAAGGCTGACTCTGGATAAACTGAGGCTGACTTTGGTTACCTATCAATTTGGTACCTGTTTATTAAAAGATTCCTACACAGTGTATTTCGTTCATGAACCATCAAGTCCATAAACATGGATTGAGCTTTATCCAATGGCCAACAGATGGAGACTATAGGTGCCACATTTTGGTATACACATTCAGGCCCCAGATTGGACATAAATATTTGGTCTTTGCAGCCAACCTCACTTATTACTTCAGACTGATGCTGAACATAGGAAAGACTGGGAAAGTTCTCTAGGAAAGGTACACGACTTTTGCAGGGTTTGTGTGTGCTATTAGCTTATGAACTATCCAGCAAGTGAAAAGCAGTTAAGAATGGAAAAAGCTGTTGTTTCCAAACCGAAGTGGTCACTTTCTGAATCTGGTGGTATTTGCACTGGGCATTACAAAACACATAGTCAATTACTTCTATAAATGTTTATTTTGTTTTTTATCTGAGCTAGCTTCCTCCCTGTCATACCCACACAGGGAGAGGAGATTCTGTGCTCACTCTCTGTGGTCAGCAATGACCTTGATGACCAAGATGCTCATTGGCCATTTAGATCTGCATCTATCTTGTTTCCAAAGAAGTCACACTTAATGAGGGCTGGCAAATTCTGAGAATCAGGACAGGATGAACCTGTTACCTCCTAGACTGGTAATCAGAACACTGGACTACATGGCATGGGGGGAATCTGCCCTGCTCAACTATGCCCTCAAATCACTTTGGACTAATTTTACCCCAAAGCAAGCTGGGCACATGTCCCTTTCAGGAATTTAATCTTGGCCGTGATGTGCTGCTGATATTGACCATTACTTGGCTTTATAATGAGACCATTTGGGGCAGATTGCATCTGGTAACATGTTTAAATCCAGGGCACCTGCTCATGGCATTGTTTCTTCCTGTGTGCCTTTATGCTAACCAAAGAACAAGGTCAGTAAAAGCTATTTCATTTTATGAGAATATTTATAAAATCAGTAGGCTCAGAGTGAACCAGGCCTACCCTTTGCTCTGAGTTAGTTCTATTGTTCTGTTGTGTAATGGGCTCTTGATTCTAAGACCATCTGGACTTGACAGTTGTCTGCTATGTGTAAAGGATTGAACACACTGTTAACATGTGTATACAGAATAATATATGTGTTATTCACATATATAATACATATGAAAATTCTATATGTAATGTAGGTTACAACACATACACAATACATATATCTGAAAAGTGCTTGGTATGAATCAGCATAGAGTAGCCGAAGGGTGTTATTGACCACAACTGTGGTTACCATCGAAATGAATGGAAAAGATATGGGTGCATACTTATAATCCATGTTGATGCCATTTCTCTTCTTTCTGCTCTCCTTTCTGCTCCAGGGGAAAATGTATGGTAGTTTAATTGTTAGAAATACATTTGTGAGGCATTTTTATGCTTTTGGTCTGATATTTATGTGTCCAGCTAGGACAGCAGAACCCATCTAAGTTTATTTTACAAGACTTATTTTACCTGATTGTTTTTCCTCCTTGTCTTTTAAAAATAGAAGACATGCATTTGAAAAACTAACCTAAAATCATGACTTCATTCACACATGCCTTACAAAGAACGGTTAGGGGATGGTCGCAACAACACTGAACCAGAAAGACCTACCCCATCTTGGATTCCTTACAGAGATAAAAATGAGGATGCATATGCCTGGCAAATAAAATGCAGATTGGAAATTGTCTCAGTGACATCAGTTGCTAATGTCAATGATTTAAATGCCCAAAGGTATTATTTCACAAAAACCAGAAATGGGAATACTTCTGAGTTGTCCTGAACAGTTACTAAACAATCTAAGACCTTGGGGAAAAAAACAACTTCATTAACTTCATCTCATTATGAATGTATTGCCAGTCTGCTTTAATTGGATGATAAAGACCAAATGTAATGATTCAAGGGTACAAGCACTATGAACCCAGGAAGACAAAGTCAGCTATTTTCCCTCAGAGAGCAGCAGCTCACCTTGGTACATTCTGGTGGGAGAAGAAAACTGGTGGTTATAACAGAGTGCAGTCATTGTCATGCCTGTAGTTAACTTCCTTCTTACACCGTCAACCTTCTCTGTCCTTATTGATTTAGGCCCTCGCTGGACGAGGCTCTGCAGTGGCGTCATTCCCTGGACAAACTTCTCCACAACAATTGTAAGTTCACCTGGTTCTCACAAAAGGTCAGACTGGGGACAGAACCAAAGCACCTTCCTTCATCATGGCCTGACGTATACAAGACGTTCAGTGAATATTTTTTTTTTTTTTTGAATGAATGAGCAAGTTAATTGAGTTTGTTTCTTGGGACCTATAAATTCCATGAATGTAGGACAGCCATGTAGAACAAAAATATTAGTATGTATTTATTGATTCATCTTACTCCAGTAATTTTGGGGCCAACAGCGTTTTGACATGTGAGCTATTCACTGCTCTTATAAAGAAACAAAAGTTAGCAGACTGTTTTCAGAACTCTTAGGGGGAAAGATAGATATCAAAGTGTTCATTTGCAATTCTTTTTACTCACACTGCACATTTTAATTTTAAGGGGACAAGGGGCAACTAGAATTAAAAAAAAAAAAAAAAAAAAAAAAAAAACCTAAGGAGCTAAGCCAGAAGTTGGTAATGTTAACAACTTAACATTGTTGAGGAGCCAAAGTGTTTACAATTACAGATGATTATCTTAGTATGAACTTGAGGTCTGAAGATATCACAATAATGTTTTCTACTTCTTAGAGAATTTATGCTTGTATCTATGCATTTGCTCATATATGTATAATTTCTTGAAAACAATATATGGAAAAACATCCAGTAGCTATTTTAGCCAATGCTTTCCTTAAAATGATACCTCTCCATTCAAACTAGCACCATCAATAAGAGGGCTAAAGGCATGGGTATGAACGGCCCAACAGATAAGATAGCCTGCCTGGTATTACTGTCTGTCCATTGCTTCTCCATTATATTTCTCTCACTGTCTCTCCTCTCTGGTTCTCTCTGTGACTCTTCTATCTCTATGTCTTTTTTTTTTTTCTGTTCTGTCTCTGTTCTTTATTTCTACAGTCATTCCTAAGGAGGAAATGCAGATGGGCAGGTATTCCTAGACAGTTTTATGCCAGCATCCAGACATTTCAGCAGCATCATCCTAGAGAAGCAGTGCATGGCCTGTTGCCTGCATATCTGCCATTATGTTTCATGGATAACTGTAAATCAAGCTATGGCTGTCCAATATCGATTACAACATATTATTTTTTTAATCTGCTGAAACTAATAATCAGAAATAACTGATATCAGATGTGATTGATATAAAGCAAATAAGAAAGGCAGATATATTGAAAAATGTACTACTTGAAATATAATGATCCCTTTCTCCACGCTCGATGAAAAGAGTAAACTATTTAAAGTTGGGCATGGTAGCTCCTACCTATAATTCAATCACTTGGGAGCCTGAGACAATAAAATTTCTGTGGGACATATGGTGAGTTCTGGATCCATCTGAACTACAGAAAAAGATGCTGCCTAAACAAAACAAGCAAAACCAAATACACACACACACACACACACACGGGGGTAAGGGTAGCAGTTTCGCTATTCATAAGGAACATTTGGAATTATTTGTGTTAATATAGGCCATTGCCTCTCAGAGTTGATAGAATTACCCAAGCATTCATTAAATCAAAATTTTCTTCAGTAGAAATAAACTCTAGATAAGCTGTTGTTCTATCTTTCTCATTAGCAAGGATCTACAAATTCATTTTTAAATTATTTTCTGTATTAGTAATGTGTGCATGAGTGTGTGTGTGTGTGTGTGTGTGTGTGTGTGCACATGCATGTGTGTGTAGTGTGTACGTGAAAGTGAGGGGACACCAGAGGGCACCTTTTAGGAGTTGGTGCTCTCTTTTCACTGAGGTTTCTGGAACACAACTCATCAGGTTGACACAGCCAATGCTTTCACCAGCTGAGCCGTCTCTCACTGGCCCTAACAATGATTTTTAATCATTTGGGGTCTTTGACTTTGTTCTTAAAATACATCACATGCTTATAAGTTTTGCCTTCAGTTCTAAAACAGAAGCCATCTGTTTTCATTTGTCAGGTCTATAGGGCACATAACAAGTATGTTGATATTTAAAAACAAAAATAGATTGCACTTGGGAGCTTATATAATTCCACCCTAGTGCTGGCAGGGACACGGATTCTCCCGCTCCGCCATTCTTAAGAGCAAACAGGGATAAAGCCAGTCTGTGGCAGCACAGTTTTTATTTGGGTCCTCTTTTCCCAAGAGTTGTAAAAGGTCAGAGCATTTCCTCAGACACCCCCGTGGGCTGGACTGTCCCTTGGGACACAAAGCATCTGACTCCAGGCTCATCCTTTAGTTCCCATCTTCACAGCCTGCCTTGGCTTCTTCTTGGCTTTCCAGTTTTCTTCCTTCTATGTCCTGATTCATCATTCTCATTACCTCACTGATGGACAGTCACAATTTTCACTTTTGACAATGATATAATAAAAATGATATGAAAGACATTTTAATGCATTTTCATTTTCATGTATGCCTTGTTCACACACCACACACACACACACACACAAACACACACATATTCTAAGTAATTTTCATGTATGTTCTATTTAGTGATTGCAATAATCTTGAGATTTAAGTTCAGCAACCATTTCTATTTTTCAGAAAAAGAATCCATTATTCAGAGAGCTAGGTATCTTGCCTATACCATACAATACTGTAACAGTAACAAAATTGGGGCATTTACTTTCCTTTACAGATCATGTTCTTTGGTCTTGTGGGTTGGAGAGAGATGGTGATTTCATAGTTCATTGAGACTCACTATTAAATATTAGGGACATATATTTGTGGAGGGAGGTAGGAAAATAGAAGTAAAGATAAGGAAAACTCAGATAATTAACAGTCTCTGGCAAAGATGGCCAAACTAGCAGATAGTACCAAGTAGGGGGAGAAAAGGAAAATTATGTCTTCCTTCCATTGACAAAGTCCTCAAGAGTGAGCAGGTGGCAATGGGAAAAAGATGATGTCACAGATGAGACAACATTTGGGTGACAAATAGTAACTTTTAATTTGGTATAAATAATGATGAAGAAAGCCAGTGTGTACTGAACTTCATGAAAATTATGCTTGGCAGCATATAAAAGCCATGTATGAATTATTTATTCCCTTACCACAGCCTTGTCATCCAGGTTTCATTAATATTTGCATTTAACATAAAATGCGACAGAGATGCCAATAGGCTAAATGATTTGTCTGTGTTATTTCATAGTCAAGTGTGTCAAGATTCACCACTAAGCAATCTTGGGTCTAAAGTCTAAGCTTTGAACTGATAAACCATGCCATGATTTTTATAAATTGCCAATACTATTCCAGTGTCCTTCCCCAATTCATCTCTACTGAACTATTTGTACTAATCTCATTTTCAATATTTTATAACAATCTGACTTAGATTCTAGGATTTGTTCCTTTTGTCCTCCAAGGGGTTTTATATGTGGTCCCCTCCCCTCTATATAAAGCTGCTACTTTGATTTGCCTAATGTCAAATTACTATCACTCTTTAGGGCCAACTCTGAGATTATAATATATAGCTGCCATATGATATATGGGTACCATGCCCACAGAATGCTTATGGACAGTCATCAGATGGATTACATCAGAGTCCTGGATAGTGGGATGCCTGAGTATGCTGAGAGGTAGTTAGAGGCTCTGTGCTGCCTCATACAGGTCCCATAGTTGCTTTCTCAGGGTTTTGTGCTGGAGTTCCATAGTGTGAAGTCCCCAGGTAAAAGAAAAGGGGTAAGAAAGATATGTGTACGTTATAGAACAGAGATATTTGGCCTGGAATCTTTTCAACTGCAACTTTAAAAAGCTATATGTAGAGGGGATGGGAATTCAACAGAAAAAGTCTCTGAGGAAGGGACCAATAGAAAAACCGAGTGTAGAAAGTTGACTAGATGTGACTGTGGAGGAAACTACTAAGAGAATCCAGAGATGCTGAAAAGCTACATGGAAGAAAGAGTAACTTTAAATGGCTGCCAGACTAGCAGGCCATAATGCTGTTTTATGTGTTTTGGTTTAAAGTACATAGATTGACAAAGAGCCTTGCAATATTATTGTGGAATTCACCAGAAAGATGGACCCAGTCAGTATTCAGGAAATAGATCTCTGAGATGGGATGCTGGTGCACAAGTTCATTTCCTGCTGTGAACTGAGTGCTAAGGTCACACAAGATCTCAGGTCTGAAATAACAATTTTTGGAAGGATTGATCTTCTCAAAATTTTACATAGACGTGTAATGGGTGACTCAGAGTGTTTGATGATGTATACAACTGGATCTGTGGGGCTGTGGGGCTGTGGGTTTGCCACAAGCACATTCCACGAAAAGATTTTGTACTCTGCACTCTGAGATCTGGTTGTATGGCTGCTTACATGGCTCCATTTCCTGGTAACAAAAAAATGATGAGAGTTTTCCCATTGCAATAGAGAGCAATCAACACATCTGTTGAGAGAGAGAGAGAGAGAGAGAGAGAGAGAGAGAGAGAGAGAGAGAGAGAGAGAGAGAGAGAGGAAGAGAGAAGTTTAGCCATGACAACAATAAACCTGGGTCTTATTTCTTTAAGTGCAACAACCATTTCTATTTTTCAGGAAAAAAGAATCCATTATTTCAAGAGCTAGATAGCTTGCCTATGGCACACAATACTATAACAGTAACAAAATTGGGGTATTTTTCTTTAAAATTCATGTTCTTTGGTCATGTGGGTTGGAGGGATATACTGATTTCATGACTCATGTTGAATTTCAGTTAGCACTAAATTATGATTAGTAACACAGTAGAAACTACAGTAGAGATAAGAAGAGAAAGTAGATAAGTAGAGATAAGTAGAGAAAACTGTTGAACAGACATGAACTGTTGTTCATGCCCACTCATGTTCCCAGATGTTTCTAGCATTGTTCAGCAATAGTGTCCTAGAAGGGCAGAGGAAGGATCAAATTGCCAAGTGTCTTTCTTGGGGCCTGAAATCAGTACTGAACCTAATACCAGTTCATTTTCAGCCTGGCCATTCTTTGCTCTCCAAATTAAGTGTGGCTGCAGGAAAGACCATGACCAGCATGGGTGGAATAAAAATGTACTGAGAAGATACTCAGTGGTTAAGTACTGTGTCATGTAACTTAAAGGATCAGAGTTGGACCCCCAAGAATCCATGTAATTAACTACCAGGTGGGAGTGATTACCCAGTGGTAATTCCGAGCTCAGAAGGCAGATACAGGGGATCCCTGGAGCAAGCTGCCCAGTGAGACTAACCTTGTCAGCAGGCTCTGGGTATGACTGAGACTTCCTATCTCAAAGAATAAGGAAGAAGGGCAATGGAGATTCTCAGCATCAACCTTGGGCCTCCACATGTATGCACACAGATGTGCACCAGCATTGAAGCACAACACATGTATCAATAGACATATACACATGAACTTGCAAACGCATGTGTATGCGTGCATGCGCGCGCATGCACACACACACACACACACACACACACACACACACACACACACACACACACACCCCACATACACATGAAAGAATGGCTCTGTATCTCTGGCTTTATCATCATATATATTTTGTTCAATTCATACAATAAATAATGACCAACAAATGGAAATTTATAGTCAATAGGAAAGAGGGCACCAAGTGTTCAAGAAAAAGAGAAGTGGGTTGAAATTGGGTCAAAAATGAATTTAGAATGTGAATATGTTACCTAAACAGAAATAATGGAATGTAGATATGTCTTGGTGGAGGCAAGTAAGGGGAACCCTGTACCCTGAAGTTGATGGCAGTCATTTCTGACTTCTGCCTTGGAAGGCAAATGGCACACCAGACCATGCTGCCAAGACTGTGACCTTGACGTAGCCTGTGGACACTAGAATCGTTTCCTCTCCTTTTTTAAAAACCTTCATTTTCCTCCACAATCTCATGATTCACTTCTTATAGATACAGTTGTTAGGATTTTGGTTTAAATAGATTAATGTATAGACACATATGCACATGAACATTCCTTATTTCAAGAAGGAAACAGCATACATTTAGATTTGTTTGTCTTTATTCATCTCTTGTACCTTGTTAAATTCTCTTCATGAGCTCTCTCCACTTACTCTTTAGGAGGTTAGTGCTAGAAGGGTGGGAAGGAACAGGAAAGTGTATAGTCCAGTAATTGTCATATGTACACAAATAGCACCTACAGCTGTTTACAGACTCACAGTTCGGTGTCTATACATTCGGTGTCCTCTAAACATTGACACATAAACACATAAAATTAGTGTGATAACTACCTGGTCCCGTCATTCAGATAGCAATTTGAGTACTCATATTTCACTATCCTTCATTTTGAACGGAACTTAGGCTCCTACTGTGACTCTGTAGCTGCTCTTCAATGGTTTTCCTATTCAATGATTCTCTTCACTTTTTTTCCTACTTTCCTTGGAATCTTCAAACTCTGCTAGGGAACCAAGCTTATTTCATTTACCAAAGTGATATATTGCACTCACAGAAAATTCACCTGTAAGAAGAGGAAGCAAGATAATAGTTACTGGCAGTTGTAAATATTACTCATTTTTAACAAACAAAGGTTTAAATATGTTCTTTGGGGGCTAAGACTATAGTTTTGTGGTACAGTGCTTGTATAGTATGCAAGAGGCTCTTCATTCAGTTTTCACTACTAAAATTAAGTTTTCTTTGGGAATTTGTGTGTCCTGAATGCCATAAGTGTTAATGGGAATCCTCAGCTCCATAAACATTTGTCACCTGAATATACACACTGCATCCACTTGTGTAAAAGACAATGAGGCAAAGCCCTATGTCCAGTGTCCAAGTGGATGATAAGCAGAGCTGTTCTCTGTTGCTTCTGTGTCTATGTGCCAGCCTGCCTTCCTTTGAATGAAGGGATAAAGGCAGATGAGGATGAACTGAAAGTCCATGCATGGGACAGGATGGTGGAACTTTCCATGTCATCTCTAGCATCTTTGTTCTAGACCTCATGTTTTTATCCCCTGCTTCAAGTGCAGGAGAGAATAGGACTCCTAATGGAGAGTTTTTGTTCCAAGAAACAGAATTACACTTCTCTTGAGAAGTGGCTTAAGATAATGGACAAATGTGTGTGAAACTGTAAAACCAGATGGTTTTAAGTCCTAGCCCTACAGTTACTTTCTGGGTATTTTGGATCAGTCACTTGACTTCTGTGACCTCATTTACAAAATAGGACACTTTTAGCTCCAGTTCTTTGGGTACATAGTGAGAATTAAGCGAGTTTCCATTTATAAGATTTTTAAATCAATGGCAGAATGTCCTGGAAGCAAAATTGAGCTATTTAGCTAGATATAGTTTATCAAATCAACAAATGAAATCCCCCTACTGACTTTTTACCACCTAGATGGACTTGCCACCTTCAAAAGCTTCCTGAAGTCTGAATTCAGTGAGGAAAACCTTGAGTTTTGGGTTGCCTGTGAGGATTACAAGAAGATCAAGTCCCCAGTCAAAATGGCGGAGAAGGCAAAGCAAATTTATGAAGAATTCATCCAGACTGAGGCTCCTAAAGAGGTTGGTACTGAGGGGCAGGAGGCTGAATATATCCATTTAAGAGCCATATCAGCACATTCCCAGGTACAACATTTGGAACTAAAGACTACTGTACTTGTAAGTACAATATTGTACCAGTAAGCACATACTGAATACAATGGCAATGTGATAGGGTCAAGCACATTTGACCTAAATGGTATACAGATCACTCTGTAACCAATGGCTGTTGGAGCCTCTCTTTCAGTACCATGCAACCAACCTGAAGAAGTAAGCCAATGTTAGATGAAATGTAGGATCTAGTTTCTTCTCTTTGACATGCATAAATGACTATAACTGTTCTGTAAAGTTATGAGACTTAAATTAAACAAAGAGTAGATGTGAAAAAAAAAACACATGTATATACCAACTAATTGATGCCAGTGAATCCAGTCTCTAGCCTTTGACATCTGTCTTTTATTGGGGCAACGGGACTTCCATTCATGGGTAACTGTGCAAATATACCACTAATCGACTGCAGAAGATCAGATACATTCAGGTTTCAAGAACACTTCATGGAAGTCTGTGCTTATCTTTGCCATCAATAAAACCAAACTGAAAGGCTTATTTAAAAAAATCCAGGATGACCACAGTCAGACCTGTCTATTTGGTCAGGTCCTATGAGCCCACATGGTTCTCTTGAATCCAATGTGGACACTGAATTATCAACAAGGTTTGAAGTAAAGCACATAGATGATTGAGTGAGCCCTGTGTATAGTCAGTGACCTACTATAGATGATTTGTAAGGGAATGATTCCTCTCATCTCTTTTCTTTCACACGTGATAAATCTTATGGAGGCAGTGTGAGATATTTATTCCTTTGGCTGTGTAGTATACTTAGCTGGCCTTTTCAAGAGACAGACATGGGTGTGGAGATACAGCACAATTGGGAAATTGGTTGAGCACTTTATTAGCATGTGGCAGGTACTGGATTCAGTCCCCTGGCACAGGCTAACCATGCAATAGACCAAGCTCTGGTTTATCACTGTTTGTTTTATGATCAAATTGTTGTTCCCTGCTTTGGTGTTTTTTTTTGGGGGGGGGGCAAAGACTGGTTCTAAAGCTATACCAAGGGTCCCTGGCTGCCAATTGTTCTTTATTATCATCAGAAGGCAGGAAATCTAATGGGTAGAAAGTCTGTGGAACCAAGCATTAGTTCACATGCATTCAAATCTATTTGATAAAAACACTTATCAGAGAGATGTTCTTGAGCCACTTAATCTGTATCTATATTCTTAGGCTGTTGAACAATGAAATAACATATGCATAGGTTGGCTACTGTTGGAGGATGCCTGGTAGGTGGATCTGAATCTGAGTCATGTGTTCACTGCAGTATCATCCCACTGCTTCTGAAACAGCAGTGGCCTTTCTTACTTTGCATGACATCCCTTCTACCTTGCATCTCAATGGTGAGAATTCTGCTGCTCTGGAACCCTCATCAACTCCTGATGCCTATGCTGACTCAGTGACCCTGTTTCCTGACCCACAGGTGAACATCGATCATTTCACTAAAGACATCACCATGAAGAACCTGGTGGAACCTTCCCCGAGAAGTTTTGACCTAGCCCAGAAAAGAGTCCATGCCCTGATGGAGAAGGATTCACTGCCCCGCTTTGTGCGCTCTAAGTTTTATAGGGAGTTAATCAAGTAGTAATCAGATCAGGCTTCAAAAAAAGTGCCCTGTAGTTGAGTTACATCCTCTGTAGTAACACAGCATCCCCCAGTACCTGCTCATTTTCCCATAGCAGCTTTGCTCCAAGATACACAAAAGCGAACCCTAGACTATGTTGCTAACTATTTTGCTCATGTTGACTTGGGTGTGGATCTGTTGTCTACTGAGGGCCTTTACTTCCATTTCTTCTTTCTGGCTGCTTTATAATGAAGCTCTGTCTACCAAGTTTCTTCCTGCTTGAGTCACAGAAAAAAAATACTCTTTAACATAATGTTGTCTGTGAAAAAGATAGGTGATAGATTGTTCAAGCAAGGGTTCCCTTTCAAGGGGATTTGACTGGTCTTGTTTATTGTTTTAATTCTCATCCTCTAATGATTTCTGAATTCAGTTAGTAAAAAGCAGGAAGCTGTTCACAAGGCTGCCACCACTTGGTTTTTAAGCAAGTACATTATTCAACACACTGAGCTCTTCCTCCTAGAGTACCTTTGTGTTAGCTAGACATTCTAAAGAAGAGATACAATGGATAGAGTATGCTTTACAAAATCAACCTCACACAAACCTTTACAAATTCAGCTCTCACAACTCTCAAGTCAGCCTTTGACTGTCTCAATTAGAAATGCTAAGTATCCAAAAATCTGATTACGCTGTTTCTTGAATAATGGGAAAAATAGACTTTAAATATTTTATTCGTATTAGGTGAAATATACAAATGTCTGAAAATAACCAAAGAATTAACTAGATATTACAAACTCACCCAGATGGCTCCTGTTTTGGAGACCTCAATCAGCTATGCTTACATACTGTGTGAGTGGCTAGGCTTGACAATGGAGGGTGAGGTGGGCAGGAAGGATGCCTCAAGGGCAATGCCATAAGGCTACAAAAGAATGTAGGAAGGCATGCTTCTGCAGTCAATGGCATCACTATTTATCCATATATCTGCCATATATCTATATAACTTTAAATTTAAAGCAACATACACACACACATATATATATATTCTTCTTACATATAACATAATAGATGGGAGGTAAGTATTCTGGCTCCAAAGGAGAAGGCAACTGTATTAAAATTGGCTTAGAAACTTTTTGGAGGAAAAAACTCTCTGTGTTAGTAGCAGTTTCTATGGTAACAGGAAGAAAATACATTCTTTTAAATCTGAGAAATTAGAAAAAGTGGGATGACCTTTCGAGAAAAAGAATGTGTCTCACTTATTTAGCATTCCTTCCTCCTCCTCCCACTGCTCTCCCGCTTCCCTTGAGCAAATTGCGTGAGAAAGTATGAGACTTAGTGTGTGAGCCTGTAGTGCTTGTGTCTCACTCTTCCGGAGAGCACAGCCGTGGCTGAAAGTGGGTCTGGAATGTAGGAAAGTGTTTGGGACTAAACTGTGGTCAATGGACAGGCAGATTTGCTTCTTTGTTCTTGAAGGAAGCCTACGATTAGCCTCGGAACTGACCCATACCTGGGCTTCTGAGTTTGATATAGTTCTGGACTGAAGGTCAGATTAATATTTAAATCAAGTCAGCAAAAAAGCCCATCAGGTCAAAAGTAACTGAGGAGGCTGTGCCTCATGTGTGTCTGTCAGAATGGGGTTGTTCATGTAAACAGACAGACACAGAACACACACACACACACACACACACACACACACACACACTTTCTCTTATATAGAGGATACCTTTTGAAAGGCAGACTCAAATGTATGGAAATGTTTTATTCTCTATTCTCATACTTTAAGCACCACCACACTTTACTGTATAAATTGAACTTCAAGCAAGTTTTCATTTCAAATGCAGAGGGTGACCTTAATGAAAAATAGTTTTTCTTTAATCTCATCTATGGACTTTACTTGTCTGATGCGTTCTCTGTCTATAATTCATTTCAACAAGAATTAGATTATTTCCTGAACACAGTAGGTATCCATTAACAAATAATTTAATGAAATAATAAGCCCTCCTTTCTAGGGTTTTGTTGAACTACAGTCATATACAAGTAGAGGTTTAAGAATTGTTTAATGGCTAGTTAATTTGGAGGAATGACTTTCACTCCTGAAACTGTATCCTCTACCAGGCATTTCCTTCACTACCTAGGAATTTAGCAGATTTGGAAGATAATGGGATACAAGGAGAAGGGGAATAAATCAGAAAGAGGAAATAGCAAAGAATTAAGTGCCAGTCCTGTGAAATTAGCCCTCTGACTAGGAAACAGAGAGGAACAGCCCAGTGTGAAAGACGACCAAACTATCGTCTTACTGTCATCCGGGGGGGGGGGGGTTGCAGAGAAGCATTTTGAGGCTCACAATGAAGTAAGGCAAGGAAGTTCATCTTAAAATCCTACAGGAAATTGACTAGAGAAAGAGCAACTATGGAGGGCTTCCTTTCCATTAAACATGTGGGTGCCAGAAAGCAGGGAGTGGAGAGGTCAGTTTGGAGCAGCCAAGCATCCAAACCTCAGAGCTAGGGAACTCTAGGCAGGTTTGGGATATAGAGTCTTGGTGTAAAGACTCTCAAGCATTGAGTCTCTCTCTATTCTACATGCATTCTAGCATCCATTTAACATCCTTTTAGTACAAAGCCCTATGGTGAACGATTTAAAAGCCACTTCTGCTGTTAAACATACTTTCTCTAAGTAAGTCCAGTTTGGTTACTAAAGAGAGCAATTGGTAACCAAATAAAAACTCTCTGTAGCCCCAGTAAACCATTCTGGGACTGAAAAGGTTGACTTCCCCCACTGGAGATAACCAAGACACTAAGTGGGAGCTTATAGGGGGAATGAACGGTGGCTACAACACAGAGTGAGCATCTTTGGAGTTTTATCCTTAATTAATTGTCTACTAATAATCATATACATCAAGTAGAGAAGCTATGTAGCCAAGTACTCATACCCAGTTTAACATGCTTCTTACAAATTAACCCTTCCCTCGTTTGACATGTCTTTCTCCTCCTCCCTCACTTCCCCTCCTCTTTTCCCTCTCTGAAACGTTGTGTCTCACTGTACTTTGGTAATAATGACTATGTTAAGATCACTGAAGTTCTGTCTAGGAAGAGGTACAAGCAAACGCATAGACAAAAATAAAGAGAAATGCTGATAAACACACCACAGGAGGCAAGTGATCTGAATAATGTTTGACAAATGTTCTGTCATGAAGTCATGAGGACATGAGGGCATTTTTTTTTTAATCCTACAATTTGGGAACTTGGGGAGTGTTTTCTTTTTTTGAGGGTAAAGAATGGAATAGAGGTTTTATTAAGTCCTGTGTCAGCAATTTTCTCATAAGTTTTAAATTCTGGACCAATTATGTTTTCTGATAACTGTATCCAATAAATTGTATAGTATGTAACTCACTCTTACTGATAATAAAATAAATATTAATCTATAACAGAAATCACATAATATATATATATATATATATATATATATATATATATATATGGAATGATTTCCTACATTCTCTTGACTTCCAAACATTCTTCAGGAAGCATGTATTTTTTCCCCTAGGAAAGGATAATTTCTTCTCCATACTACTTATAACAGGTGAAGCCTTGATCCATGGAAGAGATCCCCACCAACAAGGGTCAGTCCCAAAAGAGGCTGCTAAATGGAACTCAGAAAGCAAAAAGTAGAAAGTATCAAATCTTCTAGTGACTACTTCTTCTTAAGGAGCAGTAGCAATCACTTGTTGACCCAGCCGCTTTGAGCATGCGGTAGTAGTTTGGATCCTGTAGTAGTTAGTGCAAATAGTAGTTCTTTTCTTTCCACATGTTTGTGAAAAGGCATAAATCCCAGAGCCGCTGAGAACACTTCAAATCCCATGATTTTGAATTTGATACTAAGATAATTTAAATGAGCAGTTAAGGACACACCTGGTGGAATTGGGACTGGATAGAAGGGCAGAGCTTGTGTGACAAAGGAAAAGGGAAATTGGAGGGAATAAATAAGATCAGAAGCAAAGATGAGAATTTGGGAAAGAGAAAGAGAGACATAGACCTGGAAAGCAATTGAAGTGAGTTGTCATAAGGTCTAACTATATTTAATGCAGATGTAATGTCCCAAATTAATTTCCATTTCCATCTATTACTTTCATGATTCTAGTCATCTTGAATGAATTCCCAACAAGAATATTATTAATAAAAATCACAGACACTTTAGATGAAATTATCAATGTCACTGTGGAGGCAGGAGCAGATCAGTTTAGAAATCTGATCAGCTATACCTGGCATTGGTGGCCCATGCCTTTAAGCTCAGCACTTGGGAGGCAGAGGCAGGTAGATCTCTGTGAGTTCGAGACCAGCCTGCCAGGACAGGCTCAAAAACAATTCAGAGAAACCCTGTATCAAAAAATCAAAAACAAACAACAATAACAACAAAAAACAACAACAAAAAGAAATCTGATCAGCTCTCATACTCTGGATTGGTCACCATTACCAGGATCAGAGTAAGTACATAAACTCTTTGGAGACCTTGGTGTTTTAGCTTTAACTTGAGCAAAACAGGACAAATGAACCCAGATCCAAGTGAAACCCAATCCTACTGTGTGTCAGGTAACCAAGTCAGCAAGGCAAACTCTCTGAGCTAGAAAATCTCATATATATATATATATATATATATATATATATATATATATATATATACATTTTCTGAATTATTGGTTTATGAGTTACTTTCCTATTACTGTGATAGGACACCATTAGTAGAAACAGCTTAAGGAAGGGAGGGTTTATTTAGGCTTATGGTGTCAGAAAGATGAGAGTTCATGATGACCAAGCAGAGGCATGGTGGCTGGAACAGGAACCTGAAAGCTTACATCTTGAACCTCAAGCTCAAAGCAGAGAGAACAAACTACAAGCAGGGCAGTGCTGTAACCTCCCAAAGTCCTCCCCAGGGACATACTTCCTCCAGTAAAAGAGCTCCTAACACTTGATACACAGCATGGCCAACTGGGGCCCATTTCTCATTCAGACCACCACAATCAGCGTTGTTCAAACCGCGGTTTTCCCCATGGCTTCTCTTATAATGGTCTCTGAGTTTTTGTTAGAATGAGTCTCATCAGGTCAGTTCTTGGTCTTTTCAAATAATCCACTCTTGGTCAAATCCTACCCTCTTAATGATTTGACTTCCCAAAATAAGAAAAGACATGGATGATAATTTTATTCAAAGACAAGCTTATGAGTCCTTGCTTTGTGTTTGGCAGACAAGTTTCCTAGCCAAATAGTAAGGTCTCTGACATTGAGACCACATTTCCAAGTTGTCTTCACCATGGGGTATCAAGCGGACAGGCATGACTACAACCACACTTGGAGAAAAGGTTCCTTGTACAACTGGAAGGACAGTGACATATGAGAAACAGACATCTGTCTTGAATTATGCTGCTAAATACCCAAAGCTGATTTGCTTCCAAGCAGAATTCTTGGAAAACATAGAA